CCTGTTGCCAAGAGTGACATTGATACCTAAGATGACCGACTTTGCCACAATGCCCGCAAATTCGGCTATCATATGTATCAACGTAATTGGTTTTCCAATTTCCATAAAAATCTTTGTCCCTTTTATAAAACTCTCGGTTAGGTGTTTGTCCATAACTAGTTTTGTGCATTTGAACCAATTTATCGAACCAGGTTGGTCCAGTTCTAGATTGCCTTTGGTATGGCCTGGAACTGGTTTGTCCTCTAGTTCTGTTACCGTTAAAGGATTGGTTCTCAAAACCAGATTTTTGATTTATTTGAGTTTTCCTTGGAACATATCCGAGACCCGCAGTCTCGTTTTCCTTTCTTTTGTACCGAGAAGGTTCAGTTCTAGAATAGGGTCTAGACCTGGTTCTTTCTTTAGTACTATACGGCTGGTATTCCGGCTTATTTTTGAAATCTTGTCTCTCAGCCTCAAGGTGATTAAGGTGTTCAATCAGCACACCAATGTTCGGAATTTTCGAAAGAAGTTTCTCACTTTTATCAACTTGTTGGTTCATACTATCGAGCTTTAAAGAACAGATAATATTGTCTTGTTCTAAAACCACTTCACTGTATTTTAGCTTCTCATTTATTAACTCTCCCACTTTAGTTTCAAGCCTTAGCTTTGCTCGTGTGGTTTCCTCGAGTTTATATTCTAGCTCAGTGATTTGTGATTTTAGATTTTCATTTTCAGAAAGGTTTTGGTTAAGCTCGATAGTTAGCCTTTTAAAAAATTTCCGAACTTTGGTTTTAGGCAAAGAATCAAACTTAGATAGAAAGTTTTCCAAATTTACCTCGAAACTCTCTTGGTCGGATTCCTCGTCGGAATTAGCCATAAGACACAACCCTGCATGATTGGAACTCTTTTCACCTTCTTCCTCATCATCATTGGATGAGTCTCCCCAAGCTGCCATCATTGCCTTCTTGAGGTCTCTGTTGAACCCTTTATCTTCACTGGACCTACGATGGGAACTGGTCTTGTTCTTGTCATAGGTTCTGTCATTTTTCTTTTGGGGACAATCTTTTGCCCTGTGCTCAAAGGAACCACAAATGAAACAACCTTGGTTATTAAAAGATTGAAAACCCTTTTTACCTTGCTTATTTCGGTTGCCTTTGAATTTCCGGTACATCTTCCCGAATTGCTTGGTGAACATGCTCATTTCGTCTTCCGATTCACTTTCGGATTCTTCTTCTTCTTCTCGAGCCTTGAGAGCTATTCCTCGCTCCTTTCTCACATTTTTGGCATCTCGTTCTTCTTGTAGGCCTAGCTCATATGTAATGAGTGAACCGATCAAGTCTTCTAACGTCATGGTAGAGAGATCTTTAGCTTCTTCTATAGTCGTAGTTTTAGGCTTCCATGCGGAGGGCAAGCTTCTCATAACTTTTCTCACTTGATCTTCCACAGTAATATCTTTTCCAAGTGTTGAAAGCTCATTTATAATATTAGTAAAGTGTGTAATCATATCCCTAATTGATTCTTTAGGTTTCATCACGAACAATTCGTAATTACGCATAAATATGTCAATTTTGGATCTTTTTACACGCGAGGTACCCTCATGCGTAACCTCGAGTAAATCCCACATTTGTTTTGTGGATTTGCATCCAAGAACCCGATTATGCTCAGCCGGACCAAGTCCACAAATCAAATATTTCAATGCTTGGGCATTATGCTCGAGTTTACAATAATCATCAGAAGTATATTCAGATTTGGGTTTAGGGATAACCTTACCTTCGGCATCCTCCTTAGTGATGATGTTATCGCCTACCTCTATTACGTTCCATACCTGGTAGTTCTCAGCCTTGATGAAGTTCTCCATTCGACTCTTCCAGAATTGGTAAAATTTGCCGTTGAACAACGGTGGTCGTTGAGTCGAGTATCCTTCCTCCAATCGTTCAACCATATTCATGCTTCCGGATCTCTTCCCAAGGTATAAACCTTTATGTGGCGAAGACCGGCTCTGATACCAATTGATGAAACAGTTAGCAACACAAGAGGGGGGGTGAATTGTGTGTGTGTGGAAGTGTGACAGTTTTTCACACAGTTCTAGTGTGGAGTCCAGGGAATTGTAAAATAGTAAAGTGCACAAGGATTTAACGAGGAAAAATCCCTTGGCTCAAAGGGATTAAAAAACCTCGACCTCCCTCGGAGGAATTTTCAACAACTTCACTAATAAGCCTTTTGTGGTTACAAGGTAAATTCTCCTAATCTACCCTTGAGCCACCCCAACTCTATCCTCTCTAGGAAGAGTTATGCATCTCTACCTTGCGGGTAGAGAGCCTCTCAGCTTTACAACAAAGCTCTCACACACACGACCCCAACCAGAGGAAGCTACACTTAAGCTGTTCCTCAAACTTCAATTACAAAACAAGTAAGAGAAAAGAAACTATATCTAGAACTCTGTAAGCAGGTCCAGTTGCCTTGGTCTTGATACTCTCTTATAAGTATTTCTCTCTATAATTTTTCGGTCAAGCACCTGTCATTTCTCTTTGGCTGCTTTGTTTATATAGGCTGTCTTGGGCAGACCGTTTAAGCATCCTTCCTTGAATAGTTGATCTTCTAAGCTTGGGACTTGCCTCAATATTTTGAATTGCTTTCCTTTTTCTTTATGATATTTCCCATATCCGAGCTCAATATATAAGGCAACCGAATTAAAATATCTTAATCATATATTCAAGGTAGCATATCAGTCCCGGACTAAGAGAATAAATACAAAAAGTTCATCCAAATCTTGTGTGATCAATTAATTACCAAATAAGACAGGCTTCGGTCAATTCCCAAAAAGGTAGGAATATTATTCTCAATATAAGCAAGCAACGGATTAAGATATGGAATATATTTCAAACAACTTTTACTTTTTCAAATCCGTATAGCAAGGGAATATTTTACCTACCATAATAAGCATGTGACGGCCCATGCCAGAAAATATCCATACTCAAACTATTCACTTATTAAGTTAATCAAGGATAACTTTTATGGCAAAGAGATATTTAGCAAAGCATGCAATACGTAAGTGGTATGGTCAACCACCAAATATAAATCATGCAATCAAATAAGGATACTTTCCATAAAGTAATAAGTTATACTAATAAGTGGATGTCTAATCAAGTATGGAAAGAGAGTAATCACTCAAATAAGCATTCATACAAGCAAATTACGTATATCATGCCAAGAAGGATATTTTTGCTTAAAATCATATTTTTGACACAGTATAATCACTCATATAAGGAAAGCATATTAATTGAAAATCAAGTAGGTGCAATCCATATTAATTAAAATCATATTACGGAATTAGAAATGGAGCTGCATTAGTTCCTCCTGCATGGTTAGTCAATCAACACATTAATAATATCCATTTATTCCTGAGGATAGTTTTGTCCTTTGTTCCGCAAGGAACTGTGAGCGGTTCTATCCACCGTTCCACCTGCATGGTTAGTCATCAACAGTTCCTTCTTTCATTCCTGCATGGTTAGTCATCAACAAAACTAAATATTCAACATAGTTGAAAAGGTATATTTGTCTTTTAAATAAATAAAAGACAAATATAGGCCCTACTCCCTAGGCAATTGGAATTTATTGTTTCAAAAAGGTGGAATCGTCCACCCCAGCGTCCCTACACCCCGACCCGATAGAATGGTGGAGGAGTAAGTCACGGTAACTCAGTCGTCCCAATGGTGTTAGACCTATACCCGTGCGCATCAGAGGTCCACCCCAGCATGCAGGAGCTGTAACCTCCGCACGGCTGCTTCGGGTTTTGAACCCTTGTCATTGTTCCAAATTTCTCACCATTCAACCAACTGAGCTACCCGTGCGGGTGGCAATTGGAATTTATTAATTTTCACCAATGTGATTGCGGTTTCTTAATGTTTGATACATAATTGTATTTCAATTTCTCTATAAATACCCTCTTTGTTACTCTTGGCAGTGTTTCTCTTATCAATGGCTTGCCTTTCTCCCAGATCATTGTCATTCTAATATTCTATGTGCATGTCATGAGGGAGTGGCAATCTTATTCTCGTCAAATTAAATGTATAGTGATATCGTGTGATAATTAGTTTTCTTGCATTATTCTTGCTATTATAGTTTGTTTTAAGCTTATCATCAATTAATTTGTTATTCGCTTAGTAGGTATGGTTAAATTGATCGAGTTTGTTTGATGAGAACTTAAATTGATCCAATTTTAGTTAGTTAAACTTGAATTTTCAAAGGAATGTTTTCTAACTTTGACCGATTATATATTCATATACAGAAATATTAATTATATGAAAATGCGATATAAAAATGTTTTTTTTTGCCAAAAATACTATCATAAAATGATTGGTCAAAGTTGACTGAAAAATCAAAGACGGTTAACTAAAATGGGACAGAATTAGTAATTTGAATTTCTTTTTATCAATTATTGTTTGTATGTGAAACAGTTCAACCTATATTTCTAAGCAAGAGTTATGCGGGAGATGCAAAAACTCTTACTAAAAGTCTTACAAAACGGGTATGTAACATCATTATATTATTTAACACATCACATCACCTTTACATCAAAAGTAATTAAAATAATCACATCATTTATTTGTAAGTTTTTTTGTATGTGTGTTTGTATTTCTAGAAATCCAAGCTCTATCTGTACCACTTTTTACTTGCATACCCCTTGTTTCATCTTATAGAAATCCTTTACAAATGATCAACACTTATTTCTTTCTTTCTTATGTTCGTCTTTAAAGTAAACGTGACTGCTTGAATATTCAAGTCAAGAATGTTATCTTTGACAATTAGCTTTTTCAGAAATTATACTTGTATCGAATATATTTTATAATTTGAAAGGAAGTTCGTCCAAATTATTCTTGACTACTTCGTATATCTTTAACTATCAGTATAGAATTTACTTAAAATAAGAATAAATAATACAAAGTGTTCCATACTAGTTAAGGTTTGCATTGAAATATTACATTTCATGTCTCTGCAAATGATAAATAAGTTCGTTTATAGTTTTTTTAGGTTATCTAAATATCTAACATCCTTATGAAAAATAGTCAACCGAATCAAGGTTTGACTAAATGGAATGTTATTGTTCTTTAATACTATGAACCTTACCAGTTACCAAACATAGCACAACTTTATTCCTCAACAATATGATGATATCACCATTTAATCTTTCTTCCTTCCACCATTTCAAAATTCAAGCAATATGATGTAAATAAATAACTGTACCAAAAGTTTATGTTTATTTCCATTGGTAACCGCTTGAAAATCCTTCCTTCTTCTTCCATGGCCGCAAAGCACAGAAAGCTCTTAGCATTAGATCAAACCATTAGCTGTTTCAATGGCAGCTGTGACCTCACGTGTCAAAATGGGTGTAACCCATATCCGTACCCGGACCAATTTTCGCCGTCGTCGATCCGACACGTTCTGATCATCTCTCCCTACATAATCATCGCCGCCGCCCTACTCGCCAGCTTCCTCATCCTCCTCTGTTACTACATGATCATCATCAGGAACTGCACCGGGTGGAGACGGGCACGTCCGGACCGAGCACCGGAGGATTTGGACCCGATGATCGATCACCCCGCCTGGTACATCCGCACCATCGGGCTCCCGGCGGCGGTGATCAGTTCGATCTCCGTTTTGAACTACAAGAAAGGAGAGAGTTTGATCGGAAAAACAGAGTGCCCTGTTTGCCTGAGCGATTTTCAGGACGGCGATACCCTCCGGCGGCTGCCGAAATGCAACCACGTTTTCCATATGACCTGCATCGACACTTGGCTGAGTTCCCACACAAACTGCCCTTTTTGCCGGGCCTCCATTGTCCCTGATGGCTCACCGGAGGAAGACGGAGTCCCGATCGACGATGGATCGGAAAATCAAGAACACGGGGTCAGAATTCTTGAATCTGACGGCGGTGGTGGGGTTTCGGGGCTCAAACGGTGTTTTTCAATAGATTCTTCAGTTTCTTTATATACCCTTGGGTTGGTAACGGATTCAGGATTCAAGAATTCAAGAGCTTTGAAATTGGCGACCGGAGGTTCAACTGAAGAGTCTTTACATAAAGCGCCGGCGGTCAAGATGAAGAGATCAGTTTCTTATGGCGGGAGGCCATTTTACCCAAACCCCAAATCCTTACTCCCACTGTAAAAATTTAGGTTCGGATGATAAGTTGCGGACTAGGTGTTGCCTCCGAAGTCAAAATGGTAATCTGCATGTAAACAAATTAGAGAGGCTTTTAAAGTTACTTGATACTCCCTCGGTCCCATATAGAGGTTCCCGGTTGTCTTTACAATGCTTGACTGACGATAAAGCAACTTGATCCCTGTTCATATTTCGATTATTTTTAGAAAACAAAATCTAGATATTCAGAAACTACATTAAAATCGTTAAGAAGGCTGATGATAGTATTTTTTTTAAGTGTGTTTCTAGTACTGCAAAAAAGTGTGTTTCTAACGTAGTATTCTGTGATCTAGACGTGTAGTAGAACCATTATTATAGTTTGCACATATTATGTACGCCTTTTGTGTACACCCATTTAATTATCTATTTATAAGACAACTACTAGGTGTACACACGTGTACAAAATATGTAAACCAACAATATTTGTGATTCTAGACTTTTAGTATGTGTTCTATAAATTTCAAATATTTATTACTTGGATATAATTCGAACTTATTACATTTCAATTAGGAAAATTATAGTAATGTCATCAAAAGATAAAAAGGCATAATGCAATGTTAAGTTAAAGTGAATGATGGAGACATCTTTAAAAAAATTGGCCATATTATGCAAAAATGTACACGACTAGTTGTCATTAAATAGAATAGGTAAGAACAATAATCTATTCATTAATGGTGTGGTGTATAACCAAATTTTTTTAATCTACGACTTAAAAGATTTACGACAAAATGGAGTAGTTCGAATGATAGAATCTTATAAGTTATAAATCAGAAACATAAAATGTCATATATTTTGATTTATTTATATTTTATTAATTCCGTTACTATTTGTTTATCAATTTTTTTCACAAAAGTTTATTGGTTTAATAAGATTAAATAATATTTAAATTTTTAAAATAAGAAACATATGAAAATTCATGAAAGATCAAGTCTTATAATGATAGATTTTGATCCTTCAGGTGTTATAACTATGTCGCCATGCGTTATCTTTCAAAAATCCTTGTATAGTGAACTCATATGTCATATCCTTCAAGTTCCAAATTAATATAATTCCTACGTAATTTTATAAATGTTATACGGAGTAAGTTTTATACCTTCTTATTATCCATAATATTTTGGTAAACAAAGATATCATGGGTCAAAGTATCATTGACCAAAAATATCAAAGATGATTACTGTATTCATCTCGTTGCAGAAGGTTCGCTACGCATTCACACTTAATATTCACATTATATAAATTCAATAACACACAATTCAGCTTTTATTAATAAACTTTCAACTTTGTCATGCAGCCACATCAATGGAAGGGGTAATTCTGTATAGTGCAATGGTTATGAGAGCAGAGAGCACAAAAACAATGGATTTAAGAGAAAGCAAACAAATAAGGAGTCATAAATATTGAAAAAATTCACCTCAGTAAAAGGACTACTAATAAGTGCAATACTTATAATTATATTTAGATGTGCTATTTTTACAACAAAAAAACTGTTTTGCACTATTACATGTGTGTCTGGATTAGTGGAGATGATAGTTACCTTCTGCTCAATCTCCTCAAAACTTTTCTAACTGCTGAATCTTCAGAAATGGCAGTCTTCTTGTGTCAGATTCCTTCTTTATTTAGGGTGTTTGGGTGTTGATATTGTATTAAAATACAGAAAAGAAAAAGTCATCCCTCCTCTTTATCGTCAATTCTGTTTTATAACAGAGATGACAGAGCTCGTGACACATTTCTGGAAATCCGATCATGGATAGGCTCCTGCAAAGAACAAGTTTACATCATTAAAGACTTCAAGAAAACAACAAATAGATTAATACCTTTAAGGTTTAAATACCTTTGTGGAAGGAAGCTTAAATTTTGTTCTTGTTATCGTCTCAAACAAGAAAATGTAACTGTCAATTTGAGCAAAAATCAATCCAAAAGCAAAAAGTTAAGCAGAGCAAACTCAGTGAAATACAGTAGGATTGCCAAAGTTCAGAATATTTTGTAATTCTCTAAATCAGAAATTGGAGTGTTGTAAAAACGCAGACATTTCCTGAATTTGGTCACCCCGGAAAGTGTCAATTTCTCTTTGGAAAGCAAATTTCAGGTTTTTATTTTATCCATCTTCTCCACACAAACATCAGTCATCCAATTGTCTTCCTGGGTGGATGAGAGTATGGCTTTGGAGAGAGCAGAGTGGAGGGGCGCACATTCGTGTGGACAATTGATCTCTTGTCTATCTTTTCTCTCTTTTTTCTTTTATCGTTATCTTCTTTATCTTCTTTTTATGTGCTTATGTTTTATTATCTTCTAGCTTTTTATGCTCTTTTATCTTTTTATCCTTTATCTTTCTTATATTCTTATATTATTGTTATTTTATATTTATTTCTTTATTTTATCCGTTTTATCTTACTTTTTTTCCATTCCTTTTCCTTCTTCTTGCATGTCTTCTCTTTTTGACATCAATATCATGGATGGATTCATGTTAGCAGACCCCAAAATCTTTTGGGATTAAGGCTGGGATGTTGTTGTTGTATTTATTGTGCAAGTCATAAATGGCAAAATTTATCAGGACATAGGAAGTGCTTTATAAGCATACGAATAGCAAATTATTCAATCTAACTTAATATGCTCCAATCATTTTCATTTTGATTTACCCCAGTGCCTCAAAGACTCCCACCTACGGTGGGGTAAGGGAGTCGGATGTACGCAGTCTTACCCCTGTACTAAAGCATAGAGAGACTGTTTCCGGATGACCCATAGTGAAAAGCGCGTCCAAAATATGCTCCAATCATTTTCACTAAACTGTCTGCACAGTTTAGTGAGCATTTTGCTTTATTCCATCATAATCTCGAGCCAAAAAATAATGAATCTTTGGCTCCATTGCAAATGATGGAGGAGCTTAATATGCTCTAATACCATATTAAAATCTGAATTTATATTTCAAATGTCAATATATTAGAAGGAAAAATCAAAACCTTAGATTTGTGTTTTTATAATTGTCTGTTGTGAGGTTTGAAAAGAAACATGGCATTAAATAGACTTTAACAACAAAAGAAACAATGGAATTGGGATGATTGAGTGTGTGATGTGGATCGCATACCGCCAAGACAGTTCAGTCACAAGTTCTTCCGGAGCCTCAGGCAAAACCTAAAGTTGGAACATCATTACAACATTAACCATATATGCAAGAAATCAAAATCATCAAGGACACCTGTAAGCATAATATCACTTGCCTCGTCTTCATATGGATTGCAATGATTTTTAAACCACAACCTCAAAAACTCCTATAAATATGAGTTACCATATAAGTACATATATTGATATATTTAAAATGAAAATACTTGAATAATACTTGGAATTAAGAAGGATGACGAACCTTGTCAACATTTTCAGGCTCTAGACCATCCCGAAAGCGGTCAAGGTATGATGGGGCAATCCAGTATCTGCTTGAGTCAGGTGTATGCACCTGAAAGTGGTAATTGTGGTTTATTTATACTCTTTTTGAACATGACAACAAGAGATTTTTATATTTTTTTTTTAGAATATAGTTAGGTCATTTGCCTCGTCGATCAAAAGAACAGTTCCATCTGCCCCCTTCCCGAATTCATACTTTGTGTCCACCAGCATTAGGCCGTGTTCGGATGCAACACGCTACAATGAAAAATAAATTAAAGGGGTCAGAGTGTTGTCTTAGAACTTTTTTTAAGGATTACGTTTGCAGAAGGGTAATGAACAATGAAGAAACAAAAATCACAAAATCAGAAGAAACGACTACTCACCTGCCCAAACTCAAATAACCTCAAAGCTTTCCTACTTGCTTCATCATAATCAGCTTTTGTCATTAGCCCCTGCTGAACTATCTGCAATACATATGGTATAGAGACACAGTAAAAATGGAGGAAGTGTGTGGATTTACTACATCTTTTGCTTCATTTTTTACCAAGTAGCCTGAGAAGTAGGAAAACAAGCAAAAATGGCACTTAAACCTAATTAACTGCCAAAGAGGTACTCTAGCAATATAGAAAATATGTTAAGATACAGTACAAACCTCATCGGGTGTTACAGGGACATCGTGATCTGCAGCTTTAGTAGTTGGAGTAAGTATGTTTTCTGACAATTTTTGGTTTTTCACTAAGCCTGTTAATTGTAAAGTGGAAGAGTTGTAAATACACAATTTGGACATTAACAACATTATTTATCAGTTCTAAATAATAAATATTAGGATTATTAGCATTTACCATCTGGGAGGACATTGCCACAATAGTTTCGAACCCCATTCTTGTAAACTGTCCACAGTGATGTATCAGTGCTTCCTGTCACATATCCTCGAACTACAATGGCCAAAAGTTTCATTGTCAGTACTTTTGCAGCTAGTAGTTGTAAGTCAGTATTAAGATCATAGTTAACACAACCATCAAATTTCGGACAGGAATGTTACCAACAAATTCAACAGGGAAAACTGAACACTTCTTTGCAATGGTGACATTCTTATCGGGTGATGCTACCACTGCGTTGGGAATAATGTGTTGAGTTTTGTTGAACCACCATAAACTAGTCTCATTCAGCACCTACATGATTCAATAGGCTTTATCGAATAGTAAAAGAAAAATACAAACTTTATTACATAGTGCAAAAAAGTAAAGAAATAAAATGACTGAAACTAACCTGGCCCTTGAAGGGAATAGAAGCAAGAATCCTATCAAATGCACTTTGACGGTCAGTGGTCACCAGGACGAGATAATCCCCTCCATCGTATATATCCCTAACCTTCATAGAAAGATTGGTCACTATTGAACCCCAAATTTCATCTTCTAATTAAGTGAAAAACCATTCGGTTACAAAAAGATTCAAACTTAATCATAACTATATTATGCTCTCGGGTTTCAATGGCCATTAAGCTATAAAAACACAATCTTTAACTGGTTTGTTGACCTAACCCATGAAAATTTTAAAACCCATTCTCAAGCTTATTTACCTTGCCACGGGTCTTGGTTTTGAGACCGGGGACAGTTAAATCAAGATGGGTCTCGGACAGACAATTGGAAAGCGAGTTACTTATGGAAAGCATGATTTCCTCCTTACTATTGCCGTTGACTAAGGCATCCAGGGTCGGAATGTTTTGCTTTTCTTGATGGTTTGATGGCGGCATTGACGATGCTGCACGTATTAATGGGTATTTGTTCTTCATTGTTGGAAACACTTTGCAAGATGATGATGGTGATGAAAAGAAGGAAATCCTCAGATGATTCTTTGCCAGAGTGAGGTTTTTGTGATGGGTGTTCGTAGGGTTTAGGGTTTGGAGGGGCTGAGCCATACCCAGGGTTGGTTTGAGAATATGGGGACCCTGTGTTACAAAAAAAGTTGAATCTTCCTTTCAAGGACAAGTAGAAATAAAAGATTAATAAAGATGACAATAGTAATAAATTACTGATAATTTATGTTCAAATACAAGTTACTAATGAATATAATAGTAAAAAATAAAAGTATTCAATAATAAAATACATTTCATTTAAAAAGAGACATTCTTTGAACGTATATAAATGCAAAGTTATCTACCAAACTTTAAAAAGTCTTTTTTTAAGCTTCTCATATCCGGATGGCCGTTCTTTAGAAACATCGTTATTATCAATCATTGAAAACCTTCACTACTCTTCTACACATTTACAAATTTTAAACTAAAAGTTAATTTAAATTTTGAATCAATGACTATTAATTATAAACCCAAAATATACTTATAAACCCAAAAAATACTTCTAACTATTAATGTATGAGTTATGCTAGAGGTACAAAAACTTTTACAAAAAGTCTTACAAAAGGGGTATGCGGCATCATCACATTATTTAACGCATATCACATTATTTAACACATCACATCACATTTACAACACTTTTACATCAATGGTAATTAGAATAGCCACATCACTTGTTTGTAAGTTTTTTTGTAAGTGTGTTTGTACTTCTAAACTTTTTTTCAATAATAACAACCTAGTAACATACTTAAGCCAATTTTTCAAATATAATTAGTTTAATTACTCTGGTCTAATATATAAACTAAAATAAGCAAATCCATCACATAATAATCAGACGATTAACAATACATAAGAAATTAAGGGAGAATTCAGAATACCTTAAGAATTAGGAAATTAATACTCCCTTCATCCCAAAAATAGGAACATTTTGGAAGTTAGAATTATAAAGCAATCCTTTATTTGGTGTTTTCCTTTATTTATTTATTTTTGAAACCCACACAAAACTAACATGTATGTTACCTAGTTACCTACTTACCTTATGGGAAGGAGGTAGTAATTCATAATTCAAAAGAGAAAAGTCAAGAAACCTTACCTGGTTCAGCACTTCAGCAAGCGTTGCGAGGAGTACGAGCTCCGAGCGATTCAGCTGAGTGAGCGGACCGGAGGCGTGGCGGCGTGCAGGCTTGGCGCGGTGGGGGGCTGGCGGCGTTTAGAAATCGTCCCTTTGTTCCAAGTGGAAATTTGTCTTCTACGCTTATTTATTTTTCTTGCATATTGGCTATTGGGCTGCCTAATACCACTGTTACAGTTTTGGGCCTTAAATATTTAGTTGTCCTGTGTCATTGGGACTGTGACAAAGCCCAGCAACGGCAGATACGCAAACGGACTCTTTTCGTTGGAACTGCGTTTCGGAGAATTATACGGTTTCAGCACATTCGATTCGGAGCTCACCTCTTCTTCGACGCCGTTTCGATCTTCTACCAGGTATCATCTTCCTTAGTTTAAACAATAACTCCTTCAACCCTTCAATCCTTGGATGTGGATAAATTTTAAAAACTTCGAACTTCATTTTTTCTTAGTGGATAAATTTGGAAAATTTAAATGTTTTTATCGGCATAGTTCACTAGATCTCCACATTGGTATAATCAGAATTTTGGAATAAATAATTAGCTGCACTACTCTTAGAACTTTGAAGGAATACATTAGCAACCAACATAGGTACTCATATTGGTGAATGTGTGATAATGTTTCTCCAGTCTGTTTTGGCAGCAAATTAGGACCTAATTCGTTGAATGTCCTTAGCTCATGTTTCTTTCCGGTAATGTCATTTATTAGACTATCATGGATGTTATGTTTGTCAATTGTGGGTACATATGGTTAATTTTTTATTGAATATATATACTGTTTTTCTAATTTTGGAATACATAAATGCATACATACATATGTACATGCATGTAGGTTTGGGTTCAAATAAAATGTGCTTCCTAGATGAAAAATAAGAACTAATTTTGCCATTGATGTGAAAAATGAAGGGAAGAGATCAAATTTTAAGTTACACACGTAATGGCATTTTGGTAATTACATAGAACTTTAAATGAACAAATTATAAAAATGTGTAGCAGAATATACAAAGAGTGTATACATAGAGGCTAGAGCACAAAAGTGCATCAAAATACAAAATGAAATGTGCACAACCTAAAAGAAATTGATAATCTTTTTTAGCGCTTGTGAGTTGTGACTCGTGTGTGCACTTTATTTATGAACTACATTTTTTACTATAAACACTTGCACATTATTTTGCCACCTTGCCTTGTGACTAAATTGATTTAATTCATCCATTGTGAAATTATTAAAGACCAAAATTTCTTCTCACTTTTTCATGGGAAAAGTACTTTTTAGCTGAACCCACCCCTATGTATATCTATACCTATATAAGGGTTCGTGATCAAATGAAAACCATTCATCGCGGGAAAAATGCAAACACTTGCACTTTTCCCCCAATCCGATGCACTATTAGATTTCTATGTTGCACTTTTTCGCATTAATAGAAAACTTATACTTATTTACCCAAATGCGTTTGCGTTTTTTACTTAACGCTATATTGGTATGGTCCGACAAAAGTTCGAAAGTGCAAGAGATGAGTTTTAAAGTGAACTAAATTGAATAAAATGTGACGGTTTGCTATTTATAATTCGCACGATAGGAGTAGTTTTTATAAGAAGGCACCATATGTGTGTGTGTGTGTAGGGGAGGGATCTAGTGAGAACCCCTCATAAAATGAGAACCCAAATTTGAGGTGGTTCCCGATGGTATTTTTGGCTGAAATTTTTTGTGTATGTTCCTCATCAAGTCTAGTTCATCCATACCAAATTTCAGCAAAAAATTCAATCGGGAAGGTCGTCAAATGATTTTTTGAAAGATAACTGCGTTTTATATGTATATTCCGGAGCAGTTATCTTTCAAAAATCATTTGACGATATTCTGGATTGAATTTTTTGCTGAAATTTGGTATGGATGAACTAGACTTGATGAGGAACATACACAAAAAAATTCAGCCAAAAATACCACCGGGAACCACCTCAAATTTGGGTTCTCATTTTAAGAGGGGTTCTCACTAGAACCCTCCCCTATATATATATAATGTTCGTGAAATTTGCAACTTGGTGAGCTTATGGGTTTCTGTTAATTCGTTTATATTATGCATAATGCTATCTGATACATGGTAAATGATACCCGCTTGTCTTTTTCTTGAAGGACTCATTCGTCTTGCAATGCGTGATCATTTAAAGGCCTTTGCAGTTGGATTTTTGTTAGGATGGTGCCAAAGGCTTATCATGCATCTTTGAAGAAGTGTATGTTTTTCGTGTCCCTATTAGTTATTCTTTTGTTGTATTAGAGCATCTCTGGTGGTAGAGTGGATTGAACTAAGGGCCATCCTACATGGTATATGAGAAAGATAGAGATAGAATGATTGTGTTAATTTAAAATAGAGGAAGTGGTGTGTAGGAAAAAATTAAAAAGTGGAGAAAGATAGAGATAAATTGTAGACTTAGGTCAATGAGAAAGTTCACAAATGGACAGACCTTAAACACGACTTGAGGAGAAAAGCAGATGAATAGTGGGTTACAAGTGATCAAAAATTTAGAAATCAAAATAAATTAGGAGAAATGTGGATCCTACACATAAAAATTGTGAGATAAAAATGGAACTCATGTGTAAGAGTCCAAACCCACCCATTGGAGATGCTTACTATAGACTGATTTGGTGCTTATTGAGTTTTATGGTTTTGTATATGCTCATTACTAACTTTTCTCTACAACTATTGTGAGGTGAGTGTATGTTATTTTATGCTTGTCTTTATTGCCTGAACAGGTAACCATGCTCAATTTTTCCCCTTATTCAAGAATTATACTACTATCTAAACTCAACAAAGGATAATTCAACAAAGGAATTTGTGTATTCATCCCCTAAACTTGTTTGTTTTATTCCTAAAAGAATAATTTGATAAAGGAACTTGTATATTTATATGTATTTGTATTATTGTATGTTATTGTATATACTATATATACAGTACTAAAAAACTATACTCCGTACTATATAATACTAATATATTTTTAAAATATGATGCCCGAGAATTAGTGGGGTCCAGTGACTCATAACCTAATTAACCTCTTATTCTCCAGCCACGTATGAACTTATGATACTTTATCAATTATTATTATTATTAAGAACTAATTATAATTTTTTTGACTTTTAGTCATTAAATGAATGTACTAGCTAAAAATTTGAATTATTACTTGGACTCTTAGATCTTATTATCTATGTTAAGATCCACCAAGCGCCTACTGATCCGTGTTAGGATCTCAAATTTAACTACCATGATGCTATGAGCTGGCATGTTTATAACTGGACTGAATTTGTTTGGCCTGGACGGAATTGGTCTTGTTTGGCATGGTAGATTTCTATTCTATGTGTATATTACAATCGTCAAAGTCCGGTTGTTTTATTCTTAGAGGCCGTTTGGCAACACTGTTTTTTGGCTTATCAGGCTTATCAGCCAACTTTTTCACCAAACGCGTAACTTTTGCTTTCGCGCGCTGAATTGTGTAATAAGCAGAAAAAGTAAGGTTGGAATTACTTTTCTGGCTGTATTGGCTGAAGTTACTGTAGATGACCATTTTAGCTATTTTTACATATAACTTTTTCTTTATTTTATTAATAAAATATATTTTAAAAATATTTTTTTCTTAAATCAGCAGAATCAGCCAATGCAGCCACTTCACCCAGAACTTTATAAATTTCAGCAGAATCAGCCAAATCAGCCGATTTTCGTGCTACCAAATGGGCTCTTAATGTTTTATTCTCTTCTTTTTCATCTTATAGCGCAAACCAAAGTCTCCTATAGAAGCAGATTTGTCAGCCCTTTCAGAGGAGTTCAGAAGAGACCTTCAAAAATTACGTAAAAAATATCTTGCATGGAGGAGCACAATTATTGTCTTGAATTAGCAGACCTCTGTACAGAGTACGCTCGTAAAGTCCTGCCATTGGAGAAGGCTCTCTTTGGAGAGGACGGGAGCTAGAGATGTTGAACTTGTAATGTGGAAGTGGCGTTACATGGATTTTGCTCCTCTCCATTAACCGGAACTATCCGGTAGGAGAGAGATAGAGAGAGGTTGGGAAATGGTGGGGCAGGGAAAAGGAAAAGATTATGTTTAAATATTATTTTTAAGGAGAGAGATAGAGTGAAAAAGAAATGGAGAGAGTAAATGAACAGAAGGAAATGGAGAGGAGTATGACCCACGTTACATGCACTACAATTAGGATGGCTATGGGCTAGGCCAGGCACGGCCAGGTGTTTACCTAAGAGGTAGGGCTGGTTTTACAGCTGTTATACCGTATGACCGGTATACGGTGAGCACCGTATACCGGCATACGGTTTTAGGCATCTTTGGAAGCTCCGCATGAAACATGTATTAAAATGATAGTGTGTCCTATTATTTATTTATTTCTCTTATTGTTAAAAACTATAATAACTTTTTCATTTGTGATCTAGTTTTTATAAAATTTATATCAATTTTTTTTCATGATCTTTCAAATGAGACCAATATTGCTTATGTAATTTTAACACATTATCGAACTATTATATTAACCTATGTAAAATATGTAATTTTACATGTAGAAATATGTAACTCACGTCCAGTCAGGCCAAATGCAACTCGTGTGTATAAATATGTAACTCTACGTGTAAAAATATGTAACTCGTGTTTAGACAGGTCAAATACAACTCGTGTATATAAATATGTAACTCGTGTGTATAAATATGTAAATTTACGTGTAAAAATATGTAATTTTACGTGTAAAAATATGTATCTCGCGTTCAGGCAGGCCAAATGTAACTCGTGTGTATAAATATGTAACCTTACGTATAAAAATATGTAACTCACTTGTATAAATACATAATACAATAAATTTTTTATATATACAATTTTAAAATAGTTCGATAGTTCGGTTTCCCTTATAATCCAATAATCATTTATATAATAGTTCGATAATTTGTTAAAATTACATAAGCAATATTGGTCTCATTTGATAGATCATGAAAAATAACAAAATTTAATATAAAATTTATAAAAATCAGATATGAAATAAAAAAGTTATTACAATTTTTAACAACGAAAGGAATAAAAAATAAAGAAGTCAAAAATACCGTATACGATGTTTGCC